ATAGCGAGAAACACTCGTTGGCTTGTTTACGACACCGAAATCTCGCTCGACCCGCGCACTTGACGCTCGAATCTCTCTGGGTCACTGTGCCGGGAGTTGACATATAAGTGTCATGTGTCGGTTGCGTCACTCCTCAAGGGTCCGACCGTTACCGTAATCCTAGGACGTAACATTAATTATGTTTAATTTTTTTACTTATAATAATTGTCACTAGATCAATTGACAAGGACTTAAACAATAAAGTCAAAACGTCTTGACACTTAATTATCTACTGTTTTGTACTGCATAACATCTTGTAAAGGCTCCTGATAGTCGTTGGATTCAAATCATATTATTGAATATTTATATATTTATATTTTTTTCTGAGATTTAAAGTCTTGAAAAAAGTAATATTATTGATGGTAGTAAAACATTTCAAGATGCGTTCTATTTTTGTGGAAATTATTACATACAGGGCCATCGAAAAGTATTGGACCCTTCTAATATCTTCTGTTAGAATGCATTTTGCAGAAAATGTCCAATAGCAAAGTTGTATGGTTTTAAGCAAGGAGTAAGATGATAACCTTGATTTTGATTTTGACCGTGTTCTTTAAGGTCATTTCAAGGTCAACCTTATTTTTTTAAATAGAATCCCCTACATTTTATTGCATATTTTTATAGCTTATCTTACAAGTTTACTAAACCACTATAATAAAACATTCTTTCATTAAATGATTTTTAAGTTATAAAGGTTTGAAGTTGACAATTTTTGACACAAAATGTAAAATATCTTGTTAAATATTTAGTTTTCAGTAATCATAACCTTAATAATTTTGTGCGGAATAATGAAACCAATTAATTAGTTTAAAGAAAATACATTAATCAAAAAGTGTCGGATTTCCCTAATGTTATCAATAAAAATGCATTTTGGAAAAATGTCCACTAGCAAAGTTGTACAGTTTTAAGCTGGTTTGCTAGTAGGCTACGGCAAAAAGCTGCCCGGAGGTGCTTTGCGAGAAGTTGCTCTAATGCGTGATGCCGAAGGCGTTAGCGGGAATCTGCCCGAAAACGTTGGCGGGGCCGAACTTTATTCTCTCACTTTCGCAGGCACCAATGTACGAGCTCTTGAGCAAACAATACGGATCACTGATTTTAATCTTTGATGCAGTGTTGTCTTTTTCTTAGCGAGCAGCAGTTACCTGGACAAAAACAAACAGCACCAAAAATTTTTTCTGTAACAAAAGAAGCCGTTGCGCTTCAATTGATTGTCTCAAACGTCTTCATTTTGTTTCCAATAGCCCAGAAATTTTTTGTAAATATAATTTATTGATCTATTAGTTTTTCAGGTGCTTAACGAGCTTTTTGCTAATGCTGGTTGAAATAAACAAATCAATAATTAGACCAACACTTAATAATTAGTATTTTTTGCTACTTAATTATTTAAATCAATTTCCTATTACTTACCTGATTAAGTTTTCTTTGCTCTAATTAAGAATGGCGGAGCTTTCTGAAAGAAAAGATCGAATAACACTGTTAATGATGCGAGGATGGGGAAATCAACAAGAAGGGTATAAAACAGTAACGCGATTATTTAATGAAAATTTTTGGAATGAAAATAGTAAGATCTCTAAAAGTACTATTTAACGTTTCGAGAACATTGGTAGCGTTAAAAGCCGCTCAAGATCTGGTAGACGTAAAACAGCACTAAATAATGATAAGGCATTAGATGTTATACAGTCTTAAGTTGAAAATCCCCATATTTCCATCAATCGCGTTGCATAAGAACACGAAATCGGTCATTCATCTGTCAGTAAAATTCTGAAATTGAATAATTCTGAAATGGCATTCATACAAACTTCATTTGCGCCAAGAGTTGTCCGAAGACAATTTTAAAAGACGCATCGAATTTTGTAATCTTATGATGGAGATGATTGTCGATGATCCTCTATTACTTAATAATATTGTTTTCTCTGATGAGACAACATTTGAACTGACTGGAAATGTAAATAGACACAATTGTAGGTACTGGAGTAACGTTAATCCTCATTGGAAAAGAGACAATCATACCCAATATCTACAAAAAAGTAACGTATAGGATGGTATTCTTAATGATAGACCAGTTGGCCCTTTCTTCATTGAAGGCAATTTGACAGCACAGGTATACACAGTCATGCTTCGCGAACAAATTGTTCCAGCTATTCGAGACATAGCTGGTGGAAATTAGGATGAAATTTATTTTCAACAGGATGAAGCTCCACCACATTATGGTGTAATTGTCCGTCTGGACTCTCACATATATTTAAATAAGGTCTTTTAGGACAGGTGGATAGAGCAAACAAGTCATATTGAGTGGCCACCTCGGTCTCCGGACTTGACCCCACTTGACTTTTTTGTGGGGTTACTTGAAAAGTAAAGTGTATGCCACCAAGCCTCAAGATTTAGATGATTTAAGAGGAAGAATAACTTGAGAGATAGAACTAATACCGCCGGAAACGTACCGGAATGCGGTTTTCGCTGTTTATAACAGATGGGCACATTGCCAGGCTGTTAAAGGGCAACAACTTGAACATTTGTTGTGAATTGTTTGATACAATTCAATATCTTGCCCAAGCTGACCAATTAGAATGAAATTCGCTTTACCTGGCCGGACCCACACGCTACTCTTGTCTTAACTGGCTAGACCCACACGCCACTCTTGTCTTAACTGACCGAAATCACACGCCACGTAACAAATTGTTAATTTCAATCCTGTATTTTAACTCAAAAAGTATTTAATAAAAAAATGTTTTATTATAGTGTTTTGGCAAGCTTTTGACATAAGCTATAAAAATATGCAATAAAATGTAGGGGGTTCCATTAAAAAAAATAAGGTTTACTTTGAAATGACCTTAAAAGACATGGTCAAGATCAAAGTCAAGATCATCATCTTACTCCTCGTTTGAAACCATACAACTTTGCTATTGGACATTTTCTCCAAAATGCATTCTAATTGAAGATATTAGGGGGGTCCGATACTTTTCGATGACCCTGTATCTATACTCCTTAATAGACACATGCATGCAACACTGACACTCGACACACATGTACACCTTAAGGACTCAGTCACACACCATTCACTCGCACACTTCACACACAACACGACTCACATTGACTCTCTTTTTAAGGAGCATACATATGTCACACATACCCCACTCACACTAACACGCACCCATTAGGACACATACACCCATCATTGTCACACACAGTCTGCTCGCAACACACATATCACACATTCAAACTTTATGGAGAACATTTATGCAATATTCACACCGATTTCATTCGCACTCTTATATCCCATTCTCACTAAATATGTGTCCTTAAGGACACATTCATACATCATGCGCACACACTACACGCACATCACATTCATACAGAAAACTTTCACTAAGAGACACACTTTGGCGAACACTCACACTAGCGCGAACACACTCACACATATACCACATCTCCCGATCACACACACACACACACACACACACACACACACACACACACACGTACGCAAAGTTCACTAAGGAACATACCTTAGTGACAGGAGTGGAGGAAGCGGACTCGCGCCGACAAGTCGAGCGACGGCGGCGAGTCAGTCGCTATTCAACTTTTGTGAGGCAATGACGTACGACGTTAAGCGCGCGCGAGAATAATCAAGTTGGACACACTTGCCGATTTATATACGTACAGCGTATTTGAAACAAAAAATATTTTATTTGTGAACTCAGAATCTTGATTAGTATAACGTTACAATAAAGTACAGTAGTTGTGTTTAATATATGTCAAGCGATATATATCGTGCGTGGAATATTTGATTGTTTGCGTGCAAAGGATAAAAAGAAAAAGTTTGTAACATTATTAGTTGCAAAATATATATATATCGGGCTTCCGCTTCCGGCGCGAGTTGGTGTAAGAGCAGTGTGAGAGAGTGCGTGAATTAGAGCAAAATTGTGAATGTGGAAGAGGGAGAGGAGTGAAAGGGCGGCGTGGAGGACAGTGGTGAGTGTGTAGAGTGCGGGTGAGAGTGAAGGGAAGTCAGGAAAGAATAAGATTCGTAGGGTAGAAGACGGGTTTACAGGACAAACGGAGTGACAGGTTAGGCATAGAGCAGAAAGAGGATAGACAGGAAAATAGAGTGAGAGAAAAGTCACTAGGATCTGAAGGCTAGGGAATTAAGGGTGCCGCACAGGCAGCAGGAAAGGAGAGTGATTGGTCGAAGGGGCGGGACAGGGGAATGGAGAGAAGGTCAAGAGGGGTAGAAAAAGGTGAGAGGAATAGAAGTGTTAGTGTGGGGAACATAGAGGATTTTATTTTGAAAAAGAGGAAAAGAGATATAAAAGGGGAGGGGGAAGAGAGAGGAGGAGGGAGCATTTGCTGTAAGCAAAAAGACGCAGAGATCGCCCAGCGTGCAGAAAAACGCAGGGATGGAGGTGAGGAAAGAGAGGGTTAAGGGAGGTGCGGAGAGAGGAGGGAAGGGAGGAGCTTCAGGAGTGATAGGATTAGAGAGGAAAGATTGGAAGGAGGAGATGAGGGAGTTAATGTTGAAGATAAGGGAGGGGATGAAAGAGGTAAAGGAAGAGATAAAGGAAGAGATAAAGGAACAGGGCAGAAGCATGAAGGAGGAGGTAGCGGGTCTGAAAAAGGTCATAAAGGAGAGCGAGAAGAGATGCAGGGAAGAGAGAGAGAGGTTAGAGGAGAGTATAAGAGAGCTGGAAGGAAGAGTGAGGGAACTGGAATTAGGATGGGAAAAGAGAAGGAAGGTGGGGGAGAAGGAGGAAAAAGGAGGAAGGGAAGGGGAGAAGGATGAGATAATAGAAAGAATGAAGGAAATAAAGAAGAGATTAGAAAGGAAAGAAAAGAGGGAGAGAAAGAAAAACATATTAATAAGAGGGCTGGAGGTGGAAAGAGAGAAAAGGAAAGAAACTGAGGAGATTTTCGAGAAGATAGAAGCCAAAGTAAAGGTGGAGGAGGTGAGAAAGATAAGGAGAAAAGAGGTGAAGGTTGAGACAGTGTGGGTGAGAATGAGGAGCAAAGAACAAAAGAGCGAGGCGATGAGGAAAAGAAGTAAGCTGAAGGAAAACAGAAAGAAGATAGTAGAGGACTGGATATGAAAGGAAAGAAGGATGAGATGGAGGCTAGAAGAGATCGCAAGGAGAGAAATGAGAAAGGGAAGGAAGATAGGGTTAGGTTATAGAATGATAAAAATAGACAAAAAATGGTGGAAATGGGACGAAGAGGAAGAGGTATTGATTGATGGAAGAGGATCGATAAGAGAGGAGAGTAAGAGAAATCATGGAAGTGGACAGAAGGGGAAGGAGATAACGGAGAAGGAGGGAGTGGAGAGGGACGGGAGAAGAAGGAGGGGAATGGGGAAGAAAAAGGGTGAAAAGAAGGAGGAAGGTAAGGGAAGAGAGGGGTGGAGATTGCTGTTTTGGAATGTTGCAGAGGTGGGAAATAAGGAGTTCTGGGATAGCCTGAAGAGATGGGAGGTTTTGGTGCTATGTGAAACTTGGATGGAGATGAAGGATTGGGAAAGAGTAAGAAACAGATTACCAAGAGGCTACAGATGGGGGGTGCAGGAGGCAAAAAGAGAAAAGAAAAGAGGAAGAGCAAAAGGAGGAATGATTTTGGGGGTGAGAGAGGAGCTGGTTGGAGGAGAGATCAAAATTGAGGTGGGGATAGAAGGGGCAATAATGAGTGAGATAAGTGTGAGTAAAGAGAGATGGAGAGTTATAGGAGTCTATGTGAACAAAGGAATAGAGAGAATGAGGAAAAAGATAAAAGAATGGACGGACAGGGGAGAGGAAGACTGCAGATTAATAATTGGAGAAGATTTTAATGCAAGAGTAGAGACGGAGGGAGGGGGTTTTGTGGGCGAAGAAGAAGAGAGAAGAGTAAGGAGGGCAAAGGATAATACAGTTAATGCGGAAGGAAGAAAATTAGTAGATTGGGTGGAGGAGTACGGATGGAGTATTGTAAATAGATGTATAAGTGGAGATGAAGAAGGGAAATTCACTTTCACAGGAGAAAAAGAAAATACAATAGATTTTGTATTAGGGGAAGAGGAAACAAGAGAAAGGATAGAGAGGTTGAAGATAGGAGATAGGATTGACTCGGATCACCACCCGGTAGAGGTTTGGATGAGGGGAAGAAGAAGCAGAAATGCAGGGAAAAATGAAGGAAAGGAGGTTTGGAGAGGGATATGAGACAAGGAAGAGAAAAATCTTTTCAGGAAAAAGATGAGGACGCTAGAGGAAGTTAAAAGGAATTGGGAAGAGCAATGGAGTAGGGTGAAAAGGGGTGGATAAGGAAGGCGTTGAAAGAGGTTGAAAAGGAAAAAGAAAAGGAGACGGGGGTGAGGGGGCTAAAAGGATGATAGAATGATGGAATGTCAAGAGGAAAAAAGGAAGGTAAGGAGATTGTTGAGAGAGTGGAGGAGAAATGGAGCAATGGAAGTGGAGTATAGAAAAAGAAAAAAAGAATTTACAAAGCTATGTGAAAGGGAAAGGAAGGAGGAGAGGGAGAGATGGAAAGAGAAAATCAGAAGGGCGAGAAGAGAAATAAAAGTTTGGGAAACAATAAAGACTTTAAGGCTCGTTGAAATTGTCAACAAGAAATATATAAGGCCATACGAGCCAATTGCAGGATGTTTGTGCAGAAACTGTGCGTGTACATATATATATATATATATATACATGTAACGAATTTTACT